GGCTTTTTCAGTAGTTTGATCAGTCTTGCTTTTCTGAGTAATAAGAGAAGTAACATTTGCATTCTGGACAGAAAGATGGATAAACTTATAAAAGGGAAAACCAAACTTTGTAAGTAACTTTGTCTATTGTGTGCCTGACGCATTGTGGAACTATGATCAGACTCCCGTTTTTTTGTATTGAGATCGATTTGTATTTCTTCAAGTGTAACTCCTTCATTTTGCTCCTCCTGTGGTTGGAGTAGGAATGGGGTTCATCGAGATCTCTGCTGGGTAGAAATATAGAGAACCAGCTTATTGGATGTGGCCTGCTTGATGAACTTTGAAAAGCGACCAAATAAAGGCTATGTTTTTGTCTAGGAAGCTTAGGATTTTTTTGTAGTGCGGTTTACCTGCGTTCAAAATAAAAGCAATAGTAAATTCTAATCAGTCTAAAACTTAAGTGGCAAAAAATACCATGAGACTGAAAAAAACCAACATCCTTTAGCTGAGGATGATTATTTTACCATGAATCTTCCTAAGTCAAGAAATACGCTGAGGGTTTTCTTTCAGAGTTGACTTTGGCAGTTGTAAAAAGCAAGGCTGTATAAATTATCGTAAAGTGTAACAGTAAAAATAGAAAAGACTTTTTTTCTTGCATTATCTTGGCCTTCCAGCTGCTACATGATGTGTGATAAAGAGCATGTTCTTGTGCATAATTTAATAATAGCCTTTGCTCTAGAAGATGTAATAAGAGACATTTCAGGTATTTTGGTTAAACTTATTTATATTTTCCATTCCTCCTCCCCTGCAAAAGCCTTGGCTCTCCTTCAAAATTCTACTACTGTTCATTGCCTGGACACGATTTAATTTCATGTGTCTGTGTGTGTCGCTGAATTCCCCTCTCTAGACTGTTCTGATAATGCAGTTGAGCAGTTTGACGCGTGGGAAGTATAAGTCGACAGTCTCCCTCATCTTCTGAGCAGAGCTCGTGTTGAAGAAATATAGCAAGACCAGAAATGGATTCCCTAAGATTTAGCTTCATTATAAGACCTTTTGTCCAGTCTCTTAGCTGACAGATGTGTGCATAATAACATATTGTAGTTGGAATTTCTTCAGTTTTCAAAATCCCTTTATAGAGGCAGCATCACTGCTGAACAGATCAGCCGTCTCCTGTTTCTGCTTTGAAAGTGCACATCTAATACTATTGAAAACTGTTGCAAGAAAGGATAGTTTATGAAGTAGAATAGATGGAGACATGGGAACTTGGTCTGAAACTCGCGTGGGAAATACTGGGGTCCCACAGCGTGTTAGCAACCCTCCCTATGGTAGAGGGTGCTGTGATGTGCATTGGGAGGCCTGCTACAATGCTATGGGAGTCTTCCGTTGTGCCACGGAGATGTGTTTTCCCAAAACAAACTAAATGCGAATGTATGTTACTAAGAAGATATTCTGGGAAAAATCCCTAACGTACCTTTTGGTTACCCTTGTGGTCCCAATTTGTTCTGGGCAGGTGTACAGAGCAGTTGCAAACTGGCCATTGTTAAGCTTAGTTCTAGCGTTTCCTGTTTGTATTGGTGGCGATTTAGTCTAGTTTGCAAAGTTAATATATTCTGCCTGCCAGAATATTTCCATCTTTCTCACTCTCTTCCTCTCTTCTTTCCCCTTCATCTTTTCCTTTCTTGCTTTATATCGCTCTCAGTGAAGTTAGCAGTGGGACTTGAATCCTACCTTCATGTATCTTTCCTGTTACGGTTACTAATCTAATGGAGTTTGTTTGTTTGTTTGTTTTTAACTACAGTAATCTCTGCATGTACTCTGGCTATCTTGCCAATGTACTCTGGAACAGTACGTTGGAATTTCGGTAGAGAAGCTTCTGAGTAAGGATTTGGCCTCGAGCAAATGTGTTTAATCTCGATTGTTTGTTTGCATATACAGTATTTAACCTACTACCCACAGTCATGACACTTTTAAGAATGTGACTTTTATGCGCGATTGATACTAGACATCTGTTTCATCCCTTAAAGTGTATAGAATCATATCCCAAATTAAAAGAACATAATGATTGCAGAGTCGGGCATTCGTAAGTTAGGAAATGCCAGAATTAAAGTTTCCTGTGTAATTTCTGAAGTTCAGAAATACACAGGGCTTGCTCCTGTTCCTTCAAGGCAATAACAGACTACTTCTATCTGTCGTCATAAGGAACGAGCATGCCTTTCCTTTGCAGTCTAGCTCTGCTGAGGAGGAGGTGCGGTGAGAGTCAGTGGGGTCCTAAGCCTGCCTACGGGGTACGGGGAGGGCGACAGTGTAAGCTTCTTTCTGTCCCACTCCTTTGGGCTGTGTTGTCAATAATACTGTGATGGCTGGAAGATCTGCTGGGAGAGTAAATTGTTCACCGTGTCA